GAGGATCGAAGAGGAGGTTGTATTTGAGGAAGGGGTTGATTCCGAAGAGGAAGGAAGTGAAGCCGAGATGGTGGCTAATTAACCCGCTCTAGGAGGAGCGGCCGCGGAGGAGCAACCAAGGACCATGGGCTATTACATGGCTCCAAGGTCAGTGGATATTCAACCTGCCATTCAACATCCACCCGTGGCCGCCAACAATTTTGAGATCAAGCGCGCCCTTGTCACCATGATACAAAACAATGCCCTATTCCATGGACTTAGCAACGAGTCTCCGAAAGAGTGTGTTCAGAAGTTCATTGAGCTTGCGGGGAGTTTGAAGATTAATGGTGTCCCCGAGGATGCTTTGAAATTGAGGCTATTCCCCTAATCCCTTTGTGGGATGATACGCTCAACAAGTTTAGGACTCCGTATTGCCCACCTTCAAAGACGGCGGAGTGGCACAAGAAGATCACCCATTTTGAGCAAGAGGAAGATGAGACATTGAGGGATGCTTGGGAAAGGTACTATGAATACTTCCTCCAATGCCCACATCATGGATTTGAGGAGCAATTTCGGATTGAGACCTTATATGGCGGTCTCCACCAAGACGAAAAGATCCTCATTGACTCCTTATGTCAAGGGAAATTGATGAACATGACTCCACCCCAAGTGACCGAGTTGCTTGAAGAGATGGCAAGTAAAAGGTATGATTGGGTCTTGACAAGAAGTGGAAAGAGAAGCACCGCAAGGGGAGTGCAAAGTGTAGGAGCGAGTCCCCCGCTTGAAGCCAAGATTGATCGTTTGATTGAGGCACTCCTAGAGGACAAGAAGCATGGGAAGAGGTCGGTAATGGCGTGTGATTGGTGTTCGAGTACCAACCACGAGATTTTGGATTGTCAAATGATGAAGGAATCAAGCACCGCCAAGGAGCAAGTGAGTTTCATTGTCGGTGCTAGGGGGAAAACCCCCTATAGCAACACTTACAACCCGGGGTGGTGAAATCATCCGAATTTCTCTTGGTCTTCTCCAACCAATCCAAGACCCCCCGTTATCCAAGGACCAACAGGAAATTATCAACCAAGGCCTACTTTCATTCAACAAAGGCCGCAATTCCAAGGCTCTAACTTCCAACAACTGTTTCAAGCTCAAGGAGGTCAATGATTCCAACAACCCGATAAGTTTGCAAATTGAAGACCTTGTGACCACTTTTGTGAGCGCGAGCACTCAAAAGTTTGAGAAGATTGAGCAATTTATGGATGTGGAAACAACAAAGTTTATCTCAGTTGAGGCGGGATTAAGGAGCCATCAAGCAAGCCTTCAAAACTTGGAGGTGCAAATTGGAAATCTAGTGGGGATCCTCACCGAGAGGCCAAGGGGAGCCTTAGCCTCTCAAACCATTGTCAACCTCAAAGATCAAAATGCCAGGTGCAATGCTATTCTTCAGAGAAGTGGGAAGCTTACCCCAGAGGTTGTTTCTAAGGGGGTGAATGAAGAAGAGAAGGCCCCTCCAACGGCCAATGATCCCGAAGAAGTGGGAGAAACGGAAGAAGAGCCTAAGAAGGCATTGCTGACGCCACCCCAAGTGGCTGAATACAAGCCTCCTCTTCCTTTCCCCGCAAGGATACACAAGGATCGATTGGAGGCGGAATTTGGAGGATTCATGGAGATGCTCAGGAAGCTCCGCATCACCATTCCAATATTTGAGGCCATGGTGCACATGCCGACGTACGCCAAATACCTCACAGGGATTCTTTCAAAGAAGCCAAAATATGAAGACCTCGCCAATGTCACCTTAGGCGAGGAGTGATCCTCCTTTATCCTCAACAAGTTTCCTAAAAAGCAACCGGATCTAGCTAGTTTCACTATACCTCTTTGCATCGGATCATCATATAGAAAACTCTTTGGCGGACTTAGGAGCAAACATTAATGTGATGCCTTTCAAGCTTTTTAAGAAGTTGCATTTGGGTGAATTGAGGCCCAATAGGCTTAGTGTCACATTGGTCGATCGATCTGTCATTAGTCCTATGGGTATTGTGGAGGACGTCCTAGTGAGAGTTGGCAATTTCTATTATCCGACGGATTTTGTCATCCTTGATATCAGTGAAGATGCGGATATGCCACTTATACAAGGACGCCCCTTCCTTGCCACCGCCAAGGCCTTAATTGATGTTAATGAGGGAACTTTGGTGTTGAGAGATGGAGAGGAGAAACTTACTCTTTCAATTGATCCTAAGGTTAAGAATGATGTTGTGAAAGAAATGGACTCGAGTGGCATGAATGGAAGTGGAGGTGAGCCTCTCAAGGCAAACCCCACTAGTGTGTGTGGTCCATTTGATGATGAGGTGCATGAAACCAAGGTAGGTACTAAGCCAGGAGGAAAGAAGAAGAGAGCGTGGAGGGATAGGCTTCACCAAGCCTCCTCCCAACAAAAAGACGAGGGTAAGGCAAAAGTGTCGGGCTAAGAGGGCCATCCTAAGGAGCTAAAGGTAGGAGGTGACAAGCTTCGCACCGATATCGTGGTAGATCCACTCTCGGTGGCTTCATGCCCTCAAGCATGATAGATCCACAACGTCGAGCTAGTGACATTAAACTAGCACTTGTTGGGAGGCAACCCAGTGACGCTTTGTTTTCTTTTCCTTATTTTTCTCTTTTTGTGTGTGTGAAGAGTTCACGTGTTAGATTTGGGTATCACTGTGCCAAGTCTATGTGGTTTTGTGTTTCGAGATGTGGTATAATCGAATTAGGGGCACGATGGAGTAGATTGAGTCAAAGATTTTTGGGAGTGCCCTGTTTTTCACTCAGATCACGGTTTGTGCTTCCAGTTCACGGTCTTAGTGACCGTGAAGTGGTGCCTTCGTCCATGAACTCAGGGTGCTCCCCCTGTTTTCAAAACTCATCGTTTAACCCTAGTTCACGGGTAGAGAGTTATGTTCACGGTCTTAATGACCGTGAACTGGCTCCTCCGTCAGTGAACTAAGGGTTCTGTCTATAAAAGGGGCGTGAACAGCTCAGATCACTTCACGACCGCCCCTTTCGCCAGAAATTTTCAAATCTCATCAGAAAACCGCGATTTTCCATTGATTTCGGCGACCTCCAGCCACCCAAACCCAAAACAAATTACAGACCCACTCTCCTCTCACGTAGGCGCACCTTGTCTTACTTTTCGGGAGATTTTGGCTTAGTTTTTTTTCTCCGGTGAGGCTCTGGTGAATCCACTTCGGCCAGTTTTAAGTGCATTTTTCGGTTCCCTCTCCCTCTCCTCACTTCCACCTCAACCCTACTTGAGTCTCCAGGTTTGTTTTCAACTTTTTCCTTATCATTTGTTCGAGAATCGGATTAGGGTGTGAAGTGAGGTGATTTTTTTTGAATTGATGCTTGAATGTAGAAATTAGGGCAAGGGATTAGCCGATTAATGTGAATGAATGATGTTTGATGATACATGAGCTTAATTGAGCCTTGGTGGGCATGAATTTCGGTACAATTTGCGGCAATAAAACCAACCCAACTCCGCTGCCAGTTGATTTCAAAAGAAAAAAATATCCATACCAATCATTGATGTTAAAATTCACCATTGGAAATCTGATCTCATTAAGTATACTCAATAACGAGTATACAATTTGTCAAGGACTACATCATGTTTATATGCTTATGTTATAGCAAAATAGAAGGCAAAGTAATCTGAACTCTTATTACAAGATATAGATATATACTATGCTAAGCTTTCTAAGTGGTTGGAGTAATGGTATCCTTTTTTCCAGTCTTCTTATAAAATTCAGATATGAGACACTTCGCCTCCGTCAACTACAAACATTTGGACAAAGTAAGCATCCTCTCCAGACTTCCAGTAACAAAACCTTTGTGGAGTTAAACCGAACATAGAAATGGTTAGCATGCATGTTCTAGGAAACCAAAGATTACATTGTTTAGTATTTCAACAATAATTATGTAAACCTGATATTCAAAGAAAGTATAAGTCCTCTCTGTCTGTGTTTCTCCAATCGTACAATAGTAGGATCGACACCAGTAGGAAAGGATGGTAGTAACTAATGCTTGGAGAACACAGTTGCTCCTGATTCTGCCGAACCAAGGTAGTCCAGTAATCCTGCCATTCTAGAGAAACACCAACAGAAAATTTCAGGATTGCCCATTACTGGATCAACATAAGAAGAATTGCAAAAACAAAATTGCAGATTGTGCACAATAGTGCATGAAACTGCATAGATTAAAGAAACCACAAGAGGGTATCAAACAAAAATAATGAATTTAACACTAAATTATAAGATTTGTACGTTATAGAGGATATATCTTCACAAAACAAGAAAATTGAAGATATGCAAATTATCTAAGTAATTAAGGTATTTTCAAAATCTGCTTTTTTCTTAGCTTCAGTTCATATCACCACATCTGGAATCAATGCAAAACCATCACAATCTAACGTTTAATATAGCTTCTGTTTTGATCTATTTCAACATTTGATTAAACCCCTGGAAAAAACATTCAACAACCAGCAACAAAGGCAAACAGAGCCTCTTAACAAATGGTGTTCAGAGACTTGATTCCACCTGCTTGTTTACGATGGGTGTCTACTACTAATTCTAAGTCCCAAAAACCTTTTTTTTTTCTTTTGTCATTTCAGCTGCCAACCCATAACATTCAAGATTGCTTTTAGTCTTACTCATCTAACCACGCTTCTATGTGAAGCACAGAGCAACAAGTAAACCAAGGCACCAACATAAATAAGAGAAAGAAAACTATAAGTGAGCATACATATTATATCATATCAATCTCAACATATTATAGACGTGTTTCTCATGTAGTTTACCTTCTCAAAGCTTCAAGAATCGTCAAAGCAAGGATTTAGAACTTCACCGGTGCAATAGAACAGCTGTAATTAGTTCCCCTAAAAGGAAGAAACAACCATTACTATCTTTCAAACAAGCAGTAATGTAGTACACACGATAACAACATAACATTTGCTTACATTTTAGCTCCTCTGGTACAATAATAAAACAGCACAGATGAAGCTCGATCATGTTCATAGAGCATCTCTGAACCTGTTTTGCTAAAGCGAGATGGCAATGAACGAACAAGAAGAGTTATGAGGTTCAAAAATGAAACTGAGAAAATAGAACTAACAGGAAACAAGGAACGTAACATAGGGAATCATAAAAAAAAAAAAAAAAAATAAACAAAGAATCAGACTTCTACTAAAAAGAACTAAACAACACGGAGCCGAACAGAGAACAAATAGCTCCAAGTTGAAAATACAACATCCACCAAATAGCTCCAAGTTAACCCCAACAGAACACACTAGACAGAACTCGAACAAGGCACCATACACAAGGACAGATTTCTCATATATATATATAACAATGCCGAAGCAAGAGCAAGAGGCAGAGGCGTAATATGAATTGTACATCAAATTAGGTAAAATACATGGGGAACAAAAAAGGCAAGCAGCAGCCAAAAGATAGGAAACAAGTAGTCGAGAAAATGGGGCAACACAGAGGAAAATCATCCACGAAAAACCTGCAAAAGAAGGGGTTAGAGCAAACAAAACTGAAATTAAAAGGAAAAGGAAACTGTAGCGAGCTCGTCACCCCAGGACAGCAGAAGCTTAGCTGGGGAATAGCAAGAACCGCCGGAAGGAGGAAGTAATGGTAGAATAGAACTGTTGTTGGCGTTGGGTTCTCTGAGGGACTGGAGGCGGAGCCGTAGGAGAAGCGGCGAGCGACGACCTGTGTAACACGCGGACTGAAATGTAAAGAAACAGAAGTAGTTTGGAGGTAGATAGAAAAGTAACAGAAATGTAGGGACCAAAAGGGAAATATGGCAAATTGTATATAAGACAGGCTGTAACAACCCACAACGGCTATCTGAATACTATAACCACTTTTCCCTCCCTCACTACTCTCTCTCTCTCTTCCTCTCTTCTCTCTGCTACTTTCCCCTTTCTTCTTCTTCTTCCACCGCCGAGAGCTTCACCGGTCCAGAGCGTGACAAGTTGGTATCAGAGCCATCTCTCGGCCATGGCGACGACGGTGCGACAACTCGATGATCGTTTGAGCGCGTTTTCCAATCGGACGATGGAAGCCGAAAACACTTTTCACAATCAGATCACAACATTGGAGGATCAGAATCGAGCTCAATCGACTCAACTGCAGGAGATCATGGCGAGATCGGAAGGTCATTCGCAACAATTTGCTGTGATTAACACTCGCTTGGATGGAATGGAGGATCGTTCGGTCGCGCAATTTGCTCAAATGGATCAGAATATCCAGGAGATCATCCGGCGACTGGAGGTTCTTCAAGTTCGGCCGGAGGTTGCCGCCGATCAGCAATTGGCTCGTCATGAGGGCCGGGGTCTCCTACCCTTGCCGGTTCATCGGCCAGGGGCTGTTCCACCACAGCAACAGCGAGGCTTTGCTCAGAACAATCCGGATGCAGAGCAAGGTCCAGTTCTAGGTCAACAACGAGGTAATGATCAGATCCAGTTGCCTCGCATTGATTTTCCTCAGTTTAGGGGTGATAATCCTAGGGATTGGATCCGGAAATGTGAGAAGTTGTTCGACGTTTATGCGATTCCTGATGAGCAGAAAGTACGAATGGCTTCCATTTACTTTGACCGTCGTCCTGATATCTGGTTTGAGGGATGGAAACTTGAGCACAGGGATTGGATTTGGGACGAATTTGTGCGGGATTTGTGTGGCAGGTTTGGTGATAGAGAATTTGGAAGCATTGTAGAGGAATTTAATAAGTTGCGTCAAAGAGGATCGTTGGCTGACTATCAGGAGAAGTTCGAAGAGTTAAAGTCGCAGATGGTTCGTTACAATCCAGCCTTGGGCGAGCAGTATTTCATCTCCAGTTTCGTCAGTGGACTGGAGGAAGAGCTCAGGCCGGTGATTAAGATGTGGCAACCTGCAACCTTAGCTCATGCCTTCCAATTGGCACAACTGGCAGAAACAGCAAATGAGGCTAATCGAAGGAAATGGCGACTTGGTTTGGGCAGTGGTATGCGTACGATGCCAACCGTGGTACAAGGTACCAGCTCTGGTGCGAGGAAATGGGAAGGGCCTAGCAATCGCCCTACAAACGGGGGAAAAGCTCAGGCATCAACTAGTACCAGACCAAACTTTGCAAAGGGAGCCTGTTATAAATGTGGGGATAAGTACTACTTTGGCCATGTGTGCGACATTAAAAAACAGTTAAATGTGATGCAGGCTGATGATGGGGAGATTGTGGCACCAGAGGACTGGAGTGTGATGGATGAGGAGGACATGGAGGAAGTTTTAGCAGAAGACCAACAGCCTGAGGTGGTGGAGGTATCCATGCAGGCCCTAAGCAGTGGGGGTCTATCCAATTCCTTGATTGTAAAAGGCAAAGTTAAGAATGAAAGGATATTTGTACTCATAGATACTGGCAGCACACATACCTTCCTAAGTGAGAGGAAGGCCAAGGATCTCAGGTGCAAGTTGGTTCAGGCTGAGACTCCACTGAGAGTCAGACTGGCAGATGGGACCATGCTGTTGAGCAGCTTGGTTTGCAAGGATTTTAGCTGGGAGATGCAGGGTCACAAGTTCACATTTGATATGAGAGTCCTGAGCCTGGGTACAAATGATGTGGTTCTGGGGTTAGATTGGTTGAAAATTATCAGCCCAGTCAAGTTTGATTTCATTAATTTGCAGCTGTTTTTTGACTGGGAAGGGCAGGAAGTATCCTTGCAAGGGGTTCGGGACATGGCACAATGCAAGGCCATATCAGGCAAGACTTTACAGAAGATGATAAGGAAGACTAAAGCTACATTGGTTGGTCATTTGTTCAGCATCTCTGTGGAAACTGCAAATGCAGGTAAGGTTCCTGAATTCTTGGAATCTGTTGTGAATGAATTCAAGGATGTGTTTGGGAAACCTAAGACCTTACCACCAGCCAGATCCTGTGACCACACCATTCCTCTTATCCCAAATGCTCAACCTGTGAACCTTAGACCCTATAGATACTCAATTCCACAGAAGAATGAGATGGATAGATTGGTGAAAGAGATGATGGATTCCCAGTATATTCAGGATAGCAGGAGTCCCTATGCCTCACCTGTGCTACTGGTTCTCAAGAAAGATGGTTCCTGGAGATTCTGTGTTGATTACAGACAACTGAATTCCCTCACTATTAAAGACAAATTTCCCATTCCAGTAATTGATGACCTGTTGGATGAGTTAAGGGGGTCCAAATTCTTTACCAAGTTGGATTTATTGTCTGGATATCATCAGATCAGGATGAATCCCCAGGATCAGCATAAGACAGCCTTTAGAACACACCAAGGGCACTATGAATTCAGGGTGATGCCCTTTGGGTTAACAAATGCCCCAGCTACCTTTCAGGCCCTCATGAATCAGATCTTTGCCCCACACTTGAGGAAGTTTATATTGGTGTTCTTTGATGACATTTTGGTGTACAGTCCTGATCAAGACAGTCACAAGGAGCACTTAGCCATCACTCTCAGCATTCTCAGGACTCATACCCTATATGCTAAACCTTCCAAATGCTCGTTTGGACAGACTCAGGTGGATTACCTTGGCCATATTATTAATCATGATGGGGTGGCAACTGATCCTGGTAAGGTGGAGGCTATGGTAGCTTGGCCTGTTCCTCAAAACATCAAGGCTTTGAGGGGGTTTTTGGGTTTAACTGGTTACTACAGGAAATTTGTGAAGAACTATAGTATACTGGCCAAGCCCCTCACTGACCTACTCAGGAAAGATAGCTTTCAATGGTCTGCAGCAGCTCAAGGAGCCTTTGAAGTGTTGAAGTCAGCCATGGTGCATGCTCCAGTACTGGCATTGCCAGACTTCACTCAGCCTTTTGTCTTGGAGACTGATGCTAGTGACATAGGTATTGGAGCTGTGCTGTCACAGGGTGGAAAACCTCTGGCCTATCACAGTCAAGCTTTAGGTCCAAGGAAGCAAGGTCTGTCTACATATGAGAAAGAATATCAGGCAGTCTTGATTGCTGTTACCAAATGGAGGCATTATTTGGAAGGCAGACGGTTCATCATTATCACAGACCATGAGAGTTTAAAGCACTTACTAGGCCAGAAGATTCACACACAAATACAGAAGAAGGGCTTGGTAAAATTGTTAGGGCTTGATTTTGAGATTCATTACAGACAGGGCAGGTTCAATAAGGTTGTTGATGCCCTGTCCAGACATCCTAGGTTGACTAATTCAGGCTCTTGCCAGGCTATTTCAGCTACCTTGCCTGCTTGGTTAGCTGAGATTGACAGCACCTATGAGGGTGATTCAGTGGTACAGGAGTTGATGATGGAGGCTGCTGTTCCTATGGTAGGGCCAAAACTTTATTCTGTGAAACAAGGGTTGCTATACCACAAGGCTTCTTTGTATGTGGGTTCTAAGGGTGATATGAGGTCCCAGTTGATGCAATTGTTCCATGACTCTCCTGTGGGGGGCCATTCTGGTCTCCAAGCCAACTACCAAAGGTTGAAACGATACTTCTGGTGGCCTGGTCTTAAGAAGGATTTGAGAGAGTATGTACAGGCTTGTGACATTTGTCAGAGGTGCAAGACTGAGAATGTACCTTACCCTGGATTGCTGCAACCTCTGCCTATTCCTGATCAGGCCTGGAAACACATTTCCATGGACTTTATTGAGGGCTTACCTAAGTCTCAAGGCAAGGAAGCAGTGTATGTGGTGGTGGATAGGTTTTCCAAATATAGCCATTTCTTCAGCTTGGCCAAACCTTACACTGCAAGTTCAGTTGCACAGGTCTTCTTTGATGAAATTTTCAAACTGCATGGCTTGCCTCAGACTATTGTCTCTGACAGAGATTCCTTGTTTACCAGCACCTTCTGGTCTACCCTTTTCCAGTTGCAAGGGGTCAAGCTTCATTATTCTACTGCTTACCACCCTCAGTCAGATGGCCAGACTGAAAGGGTCAATCGTTGCTTGGAAGAATATCTAAGAGGGATGGTTCATCATCATCCTCAGCAGTGGGCTGGCTGGTTAACCATGGCTGAATGGTGGTATAATACCAACTACCATTCGAGCTTACAGGGTACCCCTTTTGAGGCCCTCTATGGTTATGCTCCTTCTCAGTTTTCCATCACCAATCCTCTTTCAACTGCTGTGGCAGCAGTGTCGGATAGATTTCAGCAGCAACATCGGCTGATTGGTGTGCTGCGTGCAAATCTGGCCAAAGCTCAGAATCGCCAGAATCAAATGGCGGATGCCCACAGGACTGAGCGGTCGTTTCAGGAGGGGGAGAGGGTGTACTTGAAACTCAGGCCTTATAGATAGTCTTCTGTGGTGACCAGGTTGAATCAGAAGCTATCTCCTAAGTTTTATGGACCCAGCCACTCAAGTTCTGATACAATGGACACACCAAGCGGAAGAAGATGCTACATGGGAATTCTTGGACGAGCTCAAGCGAAGATTCCCAGACTTTCAGACTTGAGGTCAAGTCGTTTCTGAAGGGGAAGGGAGTTGTAACACGCGGACTGAAATGTAAAGAAACAGAAGTAGTTTGGAGGTAGATAGAAAAGTAACAGAAATGTAGGGACCAAAAGGGAAATATGGCAAATTGTATATAAGACAGGCTGTAACAACCCACAACGGCTATCTGAATACTATAACCACTTTTCCCTCCCTCACTACTCTCTCTCTCTCTTCCTCTCTTCTCTCTGCTACTTTCCCCTTTCTTCTTCTTCTTCCACCGCCGAGAGCTTCACCGGTCCAGAGCGTGACAACCTGGCAGACAAATCTGAAGAATCTGGAGAGGCCCTACTTGGTAGGCTGTTTCAAATCATCGGCGTTGGTTAGATTAGATTTGGCGGAGGATTGGGGGCAAATCCTTCACTCACCGTTAGATTTCGCTTCCATTTTAGGTCGACGCTATTCACGTAGATTTGGGCAAACATGGATCAATTCTCGCCGGCAACAGGAGATAGAGGGAGGAGTATCTCGACAAAAGACCAAAAGCGGCCTGGTTGGTGTTTCTTTCGGAGAAGTGCGTTTCTCAGATTTAGAAAGTGAAGAGTACAGCTATACAGGTCAATTGTCAAAAAGAAAGTGACACAACAAACCCCGCGAAACGAAATAATTTGGGCGGACTTTCTAAATTTTCGCCAAAGCCATTGACGAGGGGATTTTACTGTCATTATTTTGCTTCACGCCAATAACGAGCGGTGTTTCACGCCAACGACGACCGGAAATTAACATAGTGGGAATCACAATCCAACATTTAACGACTGTTTTTGTTCCCGGCCCTCACCAATTTTCCCCTCGTTAAAAGCCATTTTTTTTAGTGTAACTAGAGTTACTATTTATTAGTGGCTCTCACACTCCATCAACTATAAGTGAGAAAGTTCCAAATTCTTATTTTATCACACCCTCAATTCTATAACCTTGTGTTTAGTTAATATTCATTAGGTTTACATCTATTGTCCATTGTGTATCCCATAACAATTATTGCCTACTAGGTTTTCAGCTCCCTATTGTGGCAACTATCCACTAGGTTTTCGTCTATTACTTTTTGCACAACTCATCGTCTTTGCCACCATTTCGCAGTCCATTTGGAAATATTGTCGGTGGGATGCTAAGGTGTTCCCCACCACTGTTTTCCAAGTCCTCTACCACGTGTTTTGTGTCGGGGACCGAATTTCATCCTCTTTAGTGTTTTTTCTCTCTTTTTTCTTTTTGTTGAGTATGATCACAATTGATCCCAAACACATGGGTATTCTAACTTGAACCCAAATCATCGCTATTTGCCACCATTTTGCATCCCATCTCGAAATACTGTCGGCAGAATTCTAAGTTTTCCCCCACCACCGTTTACCAAGGCCGCTACCACGAGTTTTATATCGGGACCGAGTTTCGTCCTCTTTAGTGTGTTTTCTTTCTCTTTTTCCTTTTCGTTGAGCAAGATCACAATTGAACCCAAACGCATAGGTATCCTAACTTGAACCCAAATCATCGGCTATTCGCAATCCAACTCGAAACACTGTCGGTGAAATTCTGAGTTCTCTTCTTCCACTGTTTGCCATGGCTGTGACCAAAGATACATACTAGATATGCTTTGTCCAATTCTCAACATCGCTCACCAATTCACAACATTCTCAAAACACTGTCAATGGAATCCTAAGTTGTCCCCCTCCACCGTTTTCCAATGCTGCTATCGAAAATCCATACCAAATCTACTCAATGTTGGTGAGTTGTATCGGGACCAAGTTTTGTCTACTTTAGTGGTTTTTCCTTTCACGTTTTCCTTTTTGTTGAGCATGATCACAATCAAGCTCAAATCCATGGGTATCCAACCTATTTCGATCCGGTGAAAGCGACTTGAAACCGACTTTAGTATTTATAAATTTCTCTTTTTTCTTCTTTTTTTGGTTGGGAAGACAATTGAACTCGAATATAAGGTATTGACGAGTGTTGTATTGTGAGCGAGCTTTATCCGCTTTTATGAATTAGGTGAGGATTGTGCATAATGGATATGTTATGGATATTTGGTAGCTCCCGTGACATCTATTGTTCATTGATTTCTTCGATAGTGTTTCGAGATGGGTTGTGAATTGGTGCGCCAAAGCGATGATTTGGGTAATAGATCATAGACGAAAACCTAATTACTAATTGTTACCACAAGGAAAATAATCAATAGATGAAAACTTAAGTAGACAATCACTACAGGGGAAACCACTATGTTTTGCCCGAATTTTAGAAGTTTTATACTTCAAAAGTTGAAACCAAGCCAAACATCTCTAAAGTTTCTCTTTTTAAAAAGCTGAAGTTTTTTGTAACTTAAAAGTAGCAGTTCCGATTTAAAAATACAAAATTGTCTCCATATATTATTCTTTTTTAGAAAATATAATGTTCTTCATTTATATCATTATAAAAATAAATTGAAAAAGTATTATTTAATATAATATGGAATAAATCTAATGTGATCCATTTTAAATACTTTTTAATTTATAGAATGTGTATTCATATTTTATGTTAGAAATATTTTTTAGTCATTTTACATTACCTCTTATATTAGAAAGTAATTCTGATAGTTTTTCATCTAAACACTCAACTGTCTTTTTTTAAATACTTCTTCAAAAGATCCAGAGAAGCTGCTTCATTCTGCAAAAGTTACAACATTATCAACTACTCTCCATACAAATGGAAACAGTAGTGTCATGAAAGAAGTTTAAAGATAAATAATCTATTTGATGACCCTTCTACATTATGCAAGTTCATCGACCATATGCTATTGTAAATAACAAATCAATGAAAAAATTATTAAGAATGGAATAAGATTACTTTCACTCTTGGGTCAAAATTAAAACTATTATTATTTAAAATATTTATTTTCTGGTACGTGAAGCGGTATCGAGCGGGCTTTTGCTAATATTATAAAAGATATATTAATAAATGAATACATAGTTCCAAAGGTGCAATCGAAACAACAATTGTGTATATTTAAATTAAGAGTTTATTACATTATTTGTTGAATAATAGGTGTATTATTTGTATTCATGAAAGCTTGAATAAGATGCATTAAGTTGACAACTAACCAAATCAATTTATATTTGACCACATTATAGAGGGTTGATTTGGTCCATTTCGGTTGTGCTATTTCATTCAGCTACCAGAGTGCTTAAAATAGAATGCCAGCAATAGTGTAATAATATTTGTTCACTGGAAAAGGCATTTAGTTTGATTCATTACCATGAAATACGAGCAGTCAGTGGCGGACCCAGGATTCTTAGAGAGGTGGTTCAATATAATAAAATTAAAAAATAAAAATAATTCATAAATTATAAAAGTTCTCATTTCTTACAATGAGCCACGACGGCTTTCCATACTCTGAAAGTACACCAATGGCCAAGTAGTATCCTTTCCTGTCTCCACCATTCGCCTAGCTAGCTCATCGATTCCTCGCAGTCCCTTGAAGGTCTCATCTTGCTTGACATGATAAATGTAGCCGCTTACTTTGCCGGCGATGTGAGAAGAGAAAGGAAGAGTGATTGTCCTGTGCATGTGAGTGAGTTTTTGGTTTCATTTATAAATTGTAATCGAGATAGGTATAGGGTTTCTTTTATAAGGATATTAGTTCTATTACAATCAAAATTGGAATTGGGTGGAGGATTCAATAAACTTTCCGTATAAGGAAATTATTTACACATTAATAAATTTCTGTATACAATACGTTCTTTAGCAAAGTTATAACAATAATATGTTCCTAATTTGATGGAATGATTATGAGTCTACTATAGAGCTGTGTCAAGAGGTCTTGTGTTCGAATTTTAGTACTGACGAACCTTACTTTTTTATCGAATTTTTTTTTTGGAGGTGTGTCAATTAACACACCACCCTATAACATAGGTCCGCCCCTGCGAGCAGTCATATCGCACATATAATCGTTTTTTTGAAATGCCACATACATGTCTTAAAAAAATACCTCCCCTTTTGAGGCGCTTCCTTCATCTTCTATTTGTGGGGTTAATTGCATGGTTGGTCACTGAGATTACAAAAAACGTTCAAGTTTACTGAAACTGTTCATGTTTGGTCACTCTCCGTCCAACTTTATCAAATTTTGCTTACGTGGCGGTCAACTATAAAAGTTGACCATTAAATATGTTTGGGGGAGATTAGCGTCGGGTGAGGAAGCAACGAGAGAGGGAGCGGTGGAGATCAGCGGAGGGCGGTGTTGCTTAGAGCCGATTCAACCTTCGCCATTCACCAGATCCCGTTCACAAGATTTTGGACCCGATTCGTTGTTCGCCCTTCTTCGTTCGAACAAGGGAGCCGATTCGGAGTTGAGGAAGATGAGAGTTGAGGAAGCAAAGGAGATTAGCGGCAGTGAAGGGAGCCGATTCGTCGTTCATGCATTTTTTGATGAAGCTTCGCCCGAAATTTGAAGGCATTCGTGCGTCTCTTCTTCATCGCAATGTCACTAAGGTGGAGGATGTTCTGGGTGAATTGATTTCCGAGGAATCTCGGTTGCACAGTCAGGCCAAATTGGATTTTAAATCCACGGATCCCTCTCCAGCTTTTGCGGCTGGTACTCTTACCTCCAGTGCCTCGGCCTCTCTTCCGGCCTCTGCCTTTGCTGTTGGTTCGGAGCGTCCTCGTTTTCAGTGTACGGCTAGTGGGGAGTTTATTTGTTACTACTGCAAAGAACCTGGCCATGTCCAGCTTCATTGTCCGAAGAGGAATGCTTGCAATTACTGCAAGGCGACTGGCCATAAGATTGGCGCCTGTCCCGATTTTTGCTAGGCGGGGGCATGCTCGCTCCTCTGCTGGGTCTACTTCGCAGGGCTCATCGACTGGTCCTGCCTATGCTGCCTCCATTGCTCCGTCACCAGCGCCTCCTTTTACTCAGGATGCAATGCGCTAGATGCTTTAGGAGGTTGTCGGGGATGCTCTCCCTTCTGCATTAGGCTCTGTTTTTACTGCTGGTACGCCATCTTGTTCTTCTCCTACTTGGCATCTAGACTCTGCGGCATTTAATAATATGACTAGTTCTCGTTCTTGTTTTAGTCAACTGCGGCCTTCTAGTTCTATTTAGTTACAGGTTGCTGATGGTACTCATTTACCGGCACAAGGCATTGGGGTAGCTGTGGTCCGGGTTTATCTCTTCCGGACACACTTTATGTTCCTCGATTAGTGCCTAATCCCGTCTCCGTAGGTCAGTTAGCAGAGAATGGGTGTCATATCATCTTTGATGCTACTGGTTGTGGATGATGGATTGGAGGGTGGCGTCGGTGTGCGTGCGCATGAGCAGAAGAAGTTGGATGCTGTGGATCGAGCTACATATAGGTCTTTTGTTGGTTATTATGTTAAGTTGTCAATTTGGGATTTGTGGCATCGTCATTTGGGCCATCCCCATTCTGCTCGATTGATTGAGATGTTTAAGAATAAGTTGTTATCTGGCACTTTTACTTCGGATTCGGATAGTACTTGCACCTATTATTTGGAAGCAAAATTATCTCAACATCCTTTTAGTTCGAGCACTATAGTTTATTCAGATCCATTTGACTTAGTGCATACAGATCTATGGGGGCCTTCCCCTACTACATCTCGCATGGGGTTTCGATATTTTGCATTATTTATCGATCAT